TGAGGAAGAGGTTCTGCGTTTTTCACAGTGTCGAAATTCAAACCGCAAAAATCAATACAAAGTCAAAATTCTCCTTCCTTTTTGGGCACCAACAAGAGAAGAGCACCATAAGAAGAGGAATTTGAACGAATCCATCATTTCTTTGTTTTATAACTCCCTGGAAGACATTCTGTAGATGGGTCATTTAAAAGTCTTACTTCCGAAAATGGTCTTGATAGTGTGTTTGATAGCACGTTGAGTTATCCCCGTTGGTTCAATCTGCAAATCCTTGAACTTGTTTAGAAGTTTTTCTGTAGAAGGAGGATAGGACGAAGAACATTCACCGACTCGCTTTACGAGTACCATCATTACGTACTATGCCAACTTTTTTGTGACCATACTCCGAAAAACAGGAGAACTCATATAACAGAAAGACAATGATGAATCAGAATCAGACTTATGAAACAGTTTGATTGGTTTCAGGCTAGAATTTTCATTCTTAGGTTCACAATTTTATTTTATTTTTTTGATTTCTGCGTCGGCCTCCTAGCCAATGTGGTACATCAATACATCTTTCTATGCTGATACCCATCTTTTCAAAGCAATTAGTTCATTTCCTAGATTGCAAAGGGTATCGCCCAGAGAGACAAAACATAAAACAATTTACGGGTGTTCTGAGCGACGGGCCGAAGAAATGTAATCCTCTGTCATGCGAGTTGGGGGGTTGAAAGAGGTTATAGAGCCTTACCTTCAATTGAATTCTCCAACTCTGTAGGAGAAAACACTACTCCTATTGGCAACTCCCTTTTGGGTTACGGATGAGAGGGCACCACACAATAATGTGCCCTGCACTGCGACACTAAAACACTGCGGATTGTTCAACTGTTCCTGCCATTCTTCCCTTTTCAAATACATTTTCTCCGAGGGCCCTCCCGCTGCAATACCGAGATGTTCCAGAAAGGAGAGTGGTCTCTTCTTCTTCCCGTATCCACTCGAATTAGTGTCACCCTTGTTGACCACCATGGCAGTGATGTCACCCTTTCCACACTCACTGCCACTGTTTGCTCCACTCTCCACCTCATCGAGGGGCCACTTCTCCATGGTGTCGTCATCGTAGACAACAAGGGTGTGTGATCATGCCGCTTCTGCCGCCACAGGATACGCTTACCATTCCCATACCCACCGGATGGACCACTTCGTACAACGGATGCGTAGGTTCCCTTCATCAATGCGGTCATTTGCTCTCTTTGGAGCACGAGGTCGCGGAACTGCCTATAATTATACTTACCAGATTTTGCCTCGGCCATGAGTTATCCACAAATAGGCTCAGGCAACGCGCGAGAGCAAATGTATAAGACCTGGTTATCCTGCAGGTTCACACCGGGTACCTGCAACAAACGATCCACTTCGCCAGACAAAGCACTTCTCACTAATTGTTGTGAGCTCATCGCAGGCTTTGTTAGCCGTCGTTTTGTCAAGGAATTTCTCCTTCATCCTTTGGAGAAATTCCCTCAGTGTCAAGGTTTTCACCCACTATCCTATATCCCGAAGCCAGCAGCATTGGCCTCTGACAAAACCCATTCCTTGGCGACTTCACCAAGACAGAAGGTCGAAAACGCAACTTGACATTAACATTCCACAGGAGCAATTCTGCAAAGTTTTCACCCTACTTCCCATTGCATGTGAACGCAAGTTTCATTTTTTCTTTTTTTTTCTTTTGGGGTTTTCCCATTCTTCCTTCGCAACTTTCATTTTTACTTTCTTTTTTCTCTTCATCGGTACTTCAGGTTCCTTCCTAGAGGTCTCAGGTTTCTCCAGCCTTCTTTTGGCTCCCTTCATAGTGTCTTGCAATAACTTTTTCTGGTGTTTCTTCTTTTCTTTCCCCTCTGTCTCCTCCTCATGCACCACTTTGTTCTTTCCTTTCACCAGTATTGTCACCGTGTGCAGTTCAGCCGTGACATTGTCAATCTTTATCTCTACACGTGCAAGATAAGCCATCATGTTGTGCATGACGGTTGCCAAATCAACTTTTGAACCCTCTGCTTTAAACTTTTGCCTCATTTCTTCTTCATTTTCTCTTTTCTCCTTTTGATAGGCTTCTCTCTTTTTCAATTCTACCTCCAATGCAGTTGTCTGATAGTGTCGTCTATGATTTCTTTTTCTTTCGGACGCTTTTGCCTTCCCTTCTTCCTTGGTCTCTTCTCTTCCTAACATCTTCGCAATTCCACAACAAAGTGATCGAGAGTCGTCGCTCGATCAATTGTTTGCTGCACTCTTTTGTTGGATCATCTAGACAACAATTTCAGTATGTTGTAGTTCGCATTCTTTGTGTGTCCGATTTTGAATACAACGAGGGTTCCACGTTGAAAAATTCGACGCGCATTGAATTCGCGTTGACTTCCCGTTCAAACGCGCGTTGGACGCGAATTAACTGGGTCCGCGATGATCTTTTTCCTGGGCTAAAAATTTTATATATATATATATATATATATATATATATACCATCGAGATAAATTTGCCCTCTTCCACGATTACCTCCTACATAAATAGGATATTTGAAGAAATTAGTTTGCTTGTTTATTGAAGGATCTGGAGATTCTAGGTGTTTTCGAGGACTACAACCCTCTATTTTTTTTTTTTTTTCTGATGTTAAATATATTTTTTATAAATAAAAAACATAAACACAATGAAAAAAACAAAAACTAAAATGAAATGAATGTCTTTTTTTTTGTGTTTCACACAGATTTTTTAAGGGCTAAAACAAATAAAAAAAATTATAGGGTTGTAGATCTTTCAAAAATGTACAACAATTTTTTATTTTTATTTTTTTAGAACTTCATGTGTTTTTAAAAAAATCAAAATCATAAAAAGCAAATACAAAAAATGAAAAAAAAGACACACACACACAGAATTGAGCCTGTAGCAGATTGCATGAGTCTGGCCTCCGAAGTTCCCGTACATCATGATTCGTCCGCCTCCGCTTCTATTAGGGCTGGGAGGTTGGCCCAACCCTGCTGCTTGTCACTGCTGTGTGGTCCAAGTTGCCCTCGATACTGAGAGGGTGATGGTCCTCAGTGCTGGTCACACTGAGGTAGGATAGTAATGACAGGGGTTGCCTCCCAGCCGTGTTGGCTGAAGACCTTACTGATATAGACTGGGAGGATCCAGCTGACTATCTCGGTTGGCATCGAGAGTGCCATAGGCGAGGATTTAACCCGCAACCTCCTGAATGCCACTTACGTGCCTAATCAACTGAGCTAGGCTGCTGGACATAGCCCAGATTCTTGGATCGCAAGAGGGAATAAAAAGAAAAAAAAAAACTTGAAAAACGAATAGCAAGCTACTGAGGGCTGTGCCACCCCACACGCGGCCAGGAAAAATGGCATTTCAAGCTCTAAACTAATAGCAGTGCATCTACCTATGTTCCACCAGATTCATGCTCATTTTGCACATTTGGTCAGAGTG